CATACTTCCACTTCTTGTGGTAGGGCTTTCTCTTGCCCCGGTCTTGCAGCGCTTGTGCCAGTTGTCCCGAGAGATGCCCATCGCTCGGCGCTGGCTGGAAAGAGCTCTTTCCAATATTCTTGCCAACACTTGGTAACTTGCTGCCATTAGTCCTTTTTACTTTAGCCCATCTAATAGGTATGTAGGGTTTTCATTTATATTTTCTTAATGCCTAATGATCTTGAACATTGTTTTATGTCTTGAACATCATTTATATTTACTTGTGCATTATCCATTTAAGTCATTTGCCTATTTTGCAAATTGGAATTTTGGTCTATTCTGGATATAATTCCTTTGTCAGAAATATTCTGTATATAGTTCTCTCATTTTAGGGCTTGCTTTTAATGATGTTTTTGAGAAAAAAAATGTTGAAGAAATACATTAAAAACATTTGTATTTTTGAGTAACTCTAAATTATGCTTTTAAAACTGTATAATGTCTAAAAAATTTTTCTACATTCCTGAAGAAAAAAAAAAGATTAGAGATTATAAAGTCCCAGGCACAAAGTAGGTCCTCTTAAAACAAGAGCTCTTTTTTCTGCTAGAATCTTATTGATACAATTTAATTTGGCAAATATTTATTAATATCTAATCTGTGCTTTGACTCTGCTGAGGATCCTAAAGAGATTTAAAAAAACAACCCACACTCTCTACAATCTCTGCAGTCTCTAAATTCAAAAAATTGCAGTATAGTATAGAAGGGAGATAGACATATGAATAAAAATTAAAATGTGCCAAGTATATATGTATATATGAAGTACTGGAAGCAATTTTTTTCCTTGTCTGTGGAGTGGTTTCCAAATATTTCTTTTGGAAAAATATTTGGTAGTTAAGATGGGGATAAGAAGAAAGAGAAAGGTTAAACAACAACAAAAACCCTTAAGGATTCTATAATCTTTGAGGTGCCAGCCTTTTTTTTTTTTTTTTAAAGGGGGTGATCTGCATCCTTTATTGCCCATGGGGTCAGCGGTCCTCTAAGACCCAGTCTCAGGCAATAACTGCCTCCTCGAACTTGATCATGAGTGTGGTGTCCTTGTGCCAGCGTGCTGTGACCTTGGCAGGGAAGCCACTGTGTGTGAGCATGGCCTCCACAATGCCTGCTGTAAAGCCGGCACAGTTAAACCTGCTGTCCTCCTTGGGCACAGAGATGTAGGTGTTGATGAGTGGCTGGCGCCCGATGATGTAAAAGGTGCAAGCATCATCGTTGGCCTGCTCCAGCTTGTTGGCCTCCTTGCCAAAAACGCCTTCCACATGGCGCCCTTGACCAAGAGTAGTGCGCCCAACACTTTGGTCTCACGCTGAGCACCCTTTTCACTTGCTACCAGTGCATCTAGCACATGAGCGCCCACCTGGCGGCCCAGCGCAGCTAGGTGCACCTGCAGCTCAGCCACCAAGAAGACACAGCTCTGACAGTGCTGCACCAGCTCAGAGAAGAGCAATGCAAAAGCACTCAGGCTCACTTTGGCGCGCGCTCCCGAAGCACCGACTTCCCGTGCATGAAGCGCACCTCCATACCGCCACCTGAGAACTGCGACCGTAGGCTCAAGGTGCCAGCCTTTTAAAAATTGATTCTTCTTCTTCCAAGTTGTGGCAGAGAAAAAGAAAAAAGAATTGATTTCAGCAAGGCACTTGATAAAATCTCTCATGAAGACCTTGTACATAAAATGGTGAAGTGTGAGCTGGCTGATAGATTTGGAGGTGGATTTGAAGCTGGTTCTACAACTGTGTCTGGATGTTTTTGTCCTGTAGTGCTTTAATTTTACTTATAAAATTTCTAGGTTAAACAGAACCTTAGAAATGGATCATTTACTCTAATTTTGTCCCTAACACTCTCTATAATTTAATCTCCCTTCTAATTTTTAATTTAACATAACAGAAAAGTATTCAATGAAAATATACCTCCTGCTTTCACACAAATAGCCCTGGACATCTGTGTTACCAATCTTGTCTCAACTGCCATAGGGATCATCACAAAATTCTGCCCAAAGGACTGAAAAAGGGCAAGAATATCCCAAAATGGGCATGAGTAGCTTGAAGCTGCTGAAGTATGCCTTGTTTTTCTTCAGCTTGCTCTTTTGGTTCTGTGGCTGCTGCATTTTGGGCTTTGGGATGTACTTCCTGATCCACAACAATTTTGGAGTGCTCTTCCATAACTTACCCTCCCTCACTCTTGGCAATGTGTTCGTCATCGTGGGCTCCATTATCATGGTGGTTGCCTTCCTGGGCTGCATGTGCTCTATCAAGGAAAACAAGTGTCTGCTTATGTCGTTCTTCATTCTGCTGCAGATTATCCTTCTTGCTGAGGTAACCTTGGCCATCCTGCTCTTTGTGTATGAACAGAAGCTGAATAAAGTATGTGGCTGAGGACCTGACAAAAAGCATTCACTGTTACTACTCAGACAACAGCACCAAGGTGGCATGGGACTCCATCCAGTCATTTCTACAGTGTTGTGGCGTAAATGACATGAGTGATTGGTCCAGAGGCCCACCACCATCTTGTCCCTGAGATCCACAAGTGAAGAGTTGCTATACAAAAGCAAGACTGTGGTTTTATTCCAATTTCCTGTATATTGGAATCATCACCATCTGTGTATGTATAATCCAGGAATTGGGGATGTCTTTGCGCTGACTTTGAACTGCCAGACTGATAAAACCAGCCAGGCCCTAGGGCTGTGACATGAAACTGCTTTGTGCTGGAGAGACTTGTTTCATCTCTGGAAATCCAAAGCCATTTATAGCATGAAGTCCTAAATGATTGCCTGCTGGACTGGCATCTTTATTCTCCTCCCATCTCTTCCCTATGTAGGTCCTTGTCTTATAAAACCAGAGAAGAGGGTGTTGACCAGGTATTTCTGATCTTAGTCACCAAGACAACATTCTACCCACTGATAGAAGCAGCCGTGTCTCCTAAGGTGGTGAAACTAAGGTGCTTTTTGGACATGAGAGGCCAAGAGAACATGTGACACTAATGGCTCAAGATCAAAAGTTGGGGTCCAAGATACTAATTTTTTCATTTTCCTATTGTCAAATTAGTCTTCAGCTTCCAAATCATCCCCAGTCTGTTCTCCAAAGTCAAGCAAGAGACAAGCTGAAGCGAGTCCTGGATCTTGACTCACTGGATCATTGTCATAACCCTCTGTTTCTTTTTGGCTAGAGGCCATGGCTATAGGAATGACAGAGTACACTTTCTCCAAAGGGCAAGGTTCCTTGTCACTTTCCTTATTAAAATGTCTTACTGGTTTTTTTTTATGTCTTTCTGAAAGAACTATCCAGTAATTCATATCCTGAACTTCAACCAGTGTCTTAGCTCATAATCCCATTCAGAAGAGTTCTAGTGTTATATCTCTCTCAGATAAGGTTTTGTTACTGTACAATTTTAACTCTTCATTAAATAAAGTAGCTTATAATCTCAAAAAAAAAAAAAAGAAAGAAAGAAAGAAAAGAAAATATGCTTCCTTTTCCAGTTTACAGTTCCCTCATCCTCCCCAGAGGCAAACACTACTGTTAGTTGCTTGTGTGTGTAATCTTGTTTTATTATGCATACTTGTGTTATTTATAATTATTTGAGTGTATGTGCTTTCTTCATTAGTGAACTGTAAACTCCTTAAGAGCAAAGACTCTGCCTCGTAAGGTACATTGAAGATTTTCAATAAACGATTATTTGAGGGAAAGTTGGAGCAGGGAATAGACAGGTTTCTTTGGTAACATGTCACAGTTTTCTGTCCCTGGTCATGTCCTTTACAACTGTTTTTTCAGCGACTTGGATACCAAGATGTAGAAAGCACACTGTCATACTAAGCCAATGACACAAAGCTGGAAAAGAGGTAAAATACCAGATGCCAGAGTTAAGACTACAGACAATCTTAACAGATTGGAATGTTCAGCTGGAAAAGAACAGGGACAAATACGAAGTCCTGTGTTAAAAGAGAGAAAAGGACTCAACAACTTAGTTGCCCAAGTACAGAATTAAGAGTCCAGTCTTGGCTCGGCACCTGGGTTCAAATCCCCAGCCCGAACCCGCCAAACAACAATGACGGCTGCAACCAAAAAAAAA